TTACTCTCTCTCTCTCTATATATATATATATATATATATATACCATTTTTTCCTTGTATAAATTTTCTTTGTGTTATTTTTAAGTAGTTATTGGTCAAGATTTAGTTTTTCAGTAAGAAAACTTTTGGTACTGATGTGTTACGGCAACTGAAAACTTGAAGGAAAGAATATTTATCCTATTAGGTATGTATACTCAAAAAATGTCTCAACAAACAATTATTATATCACACACATACACAAAAAAAGAAATTGAAGCCAGAATGCTAATAAACAATACACTGTACAAAACCCAAACTGTTTTTCTTATTTAAATGGAAAACATAAGAAATTAACTGATTATTATACCAATTGAGTAACAATGAATAATCAGGTCTGTATGGTATGAGACATAGGGGAGTACAATCCAAAATTGGACCTCCTTATATCACTCTCTGGGAGCCCTAAGGGTACATGCTAGGTTTGGTGACAATTACTACAGCAGTTTGACAGTTATAAGAAGAGAGACACACACCCACAGACTTTTGTCAAACAATGGTTCAGATTGCATAACAATTTTTAAACACCCAGTATAAATGATTGCTGTTATGGATACAAAACAATCCATGAATAAATGTAAAATATAAGTAAAACATTATCATGCTGTTGATATGCAAATACTAAAGGTGTGGTAATCCAGACATATGATACTCCTAGTAAATACTGTTTTCTTTGTTGCAAGATTCATGAGATAAAATAATCACTATAAGCAACTTACTGATTCATTGACAAACCATTTCTGGATTAAAGAAAAAATTAAGTTGTAATTCTGCATGCACATTCATATACATGGTAAATTTCTTTTTATTTATCTCTTTGTACTAATTTTGTTTCATGAATACTTTTAAGTTCAGAATAAGGTATTATTAAAGAAAATACTTTAAAATTACGTTTTATTCTACTTAGATTAAAGGATAATTTAAATCCTACCTTAATGATATTATAAAGATGAAGGATTAAGAAATACATAAATTAATATTAATTCTTAAAAATAGATTTAATTTTCATTTTAAAATTTTAATAAACAACAATTTCTGTAATATAAAATATTCCAGTTATTTTCTTACCTTGTATTTGGTAACTTTGTCTGACTGCCAGTGTATTCAGGATGTAATGTGCTACTGTCTAAATTCTGTTAACAAATAAGCATAGATACTTAAATCTTCTACATTATCATTAATAGAATATATGAGAAAATATTCGAATTGAAAAAGAAAATTAAAGGTTAACTTTCTTGTCAAATTTACTGGAAGGTTTGAAAAAACAATTCATTTAAGAATGAACACCATATTCCAAATGTAGCCTAACCAGTAACCTATACAATGAAATTATAACCTCTTTAGACTTGTATTCAATATTTCTGTAGAAACAACCTAAAATCCTATTTGCCCAACCATTAACAACAGCACACTGCTTGGATGGCTTAAGAGACTGATCAACCACTACACCAAGATTCATTTTTTTCATAACACTGTTAAGGTTATTCCCATTTACATTATACTGTTACGTATCTGCTTGTTTGTTAATTTCCGGTATAAATTCTTTCAGAGGAACTTCAACGATACAAGTCCCTTTTTGATTAAAACTAATTAATTTTTTCTCGATACAAAGTTTAGTAATATACAGAATTTCCACAGTCACTTTAAACTTAACAACCTTTATAACACACACTATCGCTATAAGTCACAGTGATTCACACACTTTACTTATGGTGCCTACTGGTCTCTTGACTCAATTATCTCTCTCTTCAATCCCGCTGGTTTTCTCGCCAGGCTTATATATTAAAAAAGAGGGCATCTCGATCAGACTAGAGTTGCTGGGCAAATTCATGATCCTTCGAGAAACTACGGTGCATATGCTCCTAGCATCACCTGACTTCTGCTATTGTAACACTGTCCCTTAGTATTGTTTGTCCCGAACAATAGCCACTTACATTAAACCAATAGATAATTAACAATAACTTAATTAAATGTACAGAATTTACAAACACAAAATTAAAATACAACAACGTATCTTAATTTTACAGGACGTTTCTTCTTTCGTACTGGTCTCCATCTCATTGGCTTCTGCTTCACGTGGGGTTCATCTGCTCCATCAGGAAATGTCTCATTATCGGTAGTAGTCACATTAGTGGTAGTAACTTCATTAACAGCTTCTCTGTTTTCCTTCTCAAAACCGGGTTGAGTTTCTTCTTCGACAGTGGCTTTTTCAGGAGACATGTCTTCAGCAGCATCATTTGTTCCGTTGTTCACTTTGTCCCAACTGAAATGTCCTGGACTGTGATAACGCCAAAGCCTGTAGGCATGCACTACCTTTGGCTTACCTCACTGACCACATTTTATTCAGAAAGTCACATCTGAGAGACAGTCCACTATGTCATATGGACCTTCCCATGGAGAAGACAACTTAGGAGACTTCCCTTTGGTCTTCCTGAGAGAATACAACCACACCTTGTCTCCTGGTACAAAGCTGACTTTAATAGATTTCTTATCATAACATAGCTTCATGGAATCAGGAGACGTTTTTAAGTTAAAATGCACTTTCAGCTAACACTTTCATGAACTCTGACACTTTTTTAAGCAACTCTTCGTAAGGTGGGCATCCTGTTATCAGGTCCACTAGCAACCGAAGTTCCCGAC